GGTTCCTGTGATTCTCACTTCCTAGCTCCAGGAGCTCCTGCCCCTCTGGCTGCTGGCAGAGAACTGCCAGCCTGGCCTCAGCCCTGGGCTTTATGAGGGCCAGGCCCTGCCCCCTTCTGGCCAGCTGATTCTTATCAGTTGCCCTGGCAACCTGCAGCTGTGCTCATTATCTCCGCTGAGGCTCCTTATGTCCTATCAGAGCTTCTTCTCTGGCCGCTTTCCCCTGTCTAGGAGCAGGAGCACCGAGGTGCCCTGCAACACAATGGTTTCTCTTGGTTTTAGAAGAGTGTCCTTCATAATCAGCCTATAGGAGCCTACGCATGTATTTTATTAAGCCCTTAGAAAAGAATCGAGTCTGCAAGAGACAAAGCATCATGCACAATACAAAGACTCTAGTCAATTGGAATATGACAACTGCAATTGCACTGGTGTTAGCTGCTCAAGATTGGTGTGGTAACTCTTAATCAGAGGTGTCACTTCTGCCACTGAAGGCATATGGGTAGCCAATTTGCTGGGATTGAAACAGAAGAGAAGAAAATAAAACCAATCAAGCCAATAACCCACCGATAACAAACCAGTCCAGGGCCGATGAGGCTCTCCAAACTAATAAACCAGACTGAACAGTTCAATACGATAAAAACACAAAAACAAATTAAAAGGGGTGGGAATGGAGGTGAAAGAGAGGTTGCGGAGAAAGCTTACATTTCCAAAAGTGGGTAGTTAGGCGATTTAAAAGATGCTATACATAGCCACTGATGTCCAACATGAGTGTGCGCTCAGGGTGTTGATAGTTATCTGTTTGGTGCAGGTAAGTGCACAAAGATTGTACATTCCTAAGTCTAAACACCTGCTACGCAATCATATAAGACTAACAATAAAAATGAGTCATAAAACGGACACCCAAAAGGACAGTGCACTGCAGAAATTTCTTCCCAAAAATCATTTGCAAATAAGGAGTTGAAAAACTCCTTTACCGTGGAGTTTATAACATGCAATACATACAAATATGGACTTACTTGAAACTTTCTCAGCTTGCAGCTTACAATGGGGGAGATGTTTTCTGGTGCTCAGTGGGCTGAGCTTTGCTCTACGGCAAGGTTGGGTCTTTGCTCTTCTCTGGACCATATTCAGGGAATTAAGAGAGAAGCTAGAGCTCTAATTGGCAGTCACAGCTTGAACTACACAATAATGCTGTGAGTGTACAGACAACGTCTACTAAATTAGGGATGGCCTAACAGGTTTAACCAACAAATAAATAAATAAATTCTCGTTTCGAATTCTTGGCCAGATTTTCAGAGGCCCTGAGTACTCATTGCTCTACTTGACCTCAGCATGAGCAGTAGATGTTTAGCAGCTCTGAAAACAGGTTCCCTATTTGACTAGAGTCTCCATCTCCAACAGGAAGGGTTTTTTTTCCAGGGCACCAACGTTTAGCCCGTTGCTCTACTTCATATGTGACCTGACTTGGCTCCTACCTGATTGGAGTCAGGGATGCAGCTGTTGTTGTTACTGATCTGTGTAGGAGGTGGGTTGACAGAGAGCACAGCCACGTGCTGCCGCGGGGGGAAGGTGGGGGACGGCTGGATCAAAGGAGGAGTATGTCCAAAGGCTGAACTCAAGCCCCTCTGCTGACTCAGGATCTGCTGGTACGTCACGGGGTTGATGGGATGGGGGAAGCTGAATGCCGGGCTGCAATACAAATGCCAGTGAAGAAGGGGAAGTTACATGGTGGTATTAAAAAAAACAAAAAAACATTTATGTTAATGATTGATTTAGGTGAGGACAGAACTTCCCAGTGGCCACGGGGAACGGGAAAGGATGGAGAAACTAGAGTTTCATTAATCACCCTCAATAAACATTACAGAAGATTTATTATTTTGGATAAGGCAGGATATACAACTAATTAATTAATTAATTTTGTGCAGATGTGATCTGCCTTAGCTACCATTTGGTATATTTATGCATCAATATAAATATACCCACTCACATGCAAAACTGCTAGAAAGTCCTTTTCTTCCTGTGTTGCCATGCACTGCTTGCAAACATGGGACTGACATGGGCTTTGCAACAATTCAGGCTCGAAGGCTTTGCTGTACAGAACTACTTTGAAACCTTCTCAGCTTGCAGTGTGCTACAGGGGAGATGTTCGCTGGCTCACCAGGCATAAATTACAGCAGGGACACTTCACAATATTCAAAAGAGATGGCATTTGCTTTGCACTCAAGGCAAAACAGGATGCCGTGGTATGGGGGTGGTAGAATATGCAGTCCTTCAGATGCAAGTCAGATGTAAGTTCAGCTCCTATCCACATCACGGGTAACCAGAAATGATCAACATCTACTAGCTATTTGATGGCTCGTATGAAGTCCCTGATTTCAGACTTAGAGGGAGTGGATGAGGTGTCCAGAATAACAGCTGGAACAGCCAGCCTTGCAGGAAGGCCACGTCCTGAATTAGTCTCTCTTTCAGAGGTAGTTCCTCCAGAAGGGGATTAAGGCACGAAGGAGAAGTGTGGGAAACCTGCTCTGTTGCTGCCCTGGCTCTTGGCATGTGGTGTTAAACAAGATTATCATTGTCAATTTTGCACTTTAAAGAGGATCCTAAGCACATGTACAGTAGGGCTGTGTGAAATTTCACCGGCCGTTTCGTTCCAACACTGTTTTGACCAATTTCGAGGTTGAAACAGCAAAATCAGAACAAAACAAAGCCGGTCGAAATAGTCTCGAAACAATCGAGGCTGGTCGAAACGAGGCTTTCGACCATAGGCTGGGAAGTCAGTCCAGCTGGGCTGACTTCCCATCCCTAGTGCAAGATCCGGCATCCCCATCTGCTTGATCGTGCCAGGAGCGGGAGGCAGCCCAGGTGCTTCCCGGGGCCCTGCGCTTGATCGCACTGGGCCAGGAAGCAGCCCAGCTGGGCTGCCTCCCGTTCCGGTGTGATGTAGCACTGGGGATGGGAAGTCAATCCAGCTGGTATGACTTGCCATCCCCAGCACAACTCAAAATGGCATCAAAACAGCCTTTCTGTTTCGACAAAACAAAATGGAAGAGCTGTTTCGACTCAAAATGAAATTCGAGATGAAACACTGTTCCCTCGAACTGGCGAAACTCAAGGCAAAACGGAACGGTGCCGTTTCGCACAGCCCTAATGTACACACATGAATATTTTCTCATTGTTAAAGCCACAAGAGGCGCAATGCTTGCTGAACTGGTCAACTATTAGCAGTATGTTATATTTTATATATTGAAAAATATATAAATCTAATTTTTTTTAAATAACTTAGTCCCCTTCCTCCCCCATCATTATACAATTAAGGCTGGTTTTATTCAAAACCCGTTAGTGACAAGGTAAGCAAAACACACTGGGCAAAAATCACTATGATGCCCCAGTGGTTAAATAAATACAAATGACATCATACTATCTGATGGCAGGTTGCTGTAGAGCAATTGGTTTATACAAAGGAGCCGTGAGAAAAGTGACTTATAATAGTTGGCCATCCTCCCATGATGAGGTGGTCATTAGTTTGTGTCACTGCTGTCACCGATAAGCTTTTTTACTGATTAAAAATTAAAGAAGCCACACTACAAACTATTAAGAGTTACACTGTTTTATGAATGCAGCTCATTTACATAGTCTTGTTGTTAGTAGTAATAGTAAGAAGTATGAGATTTAAGATATGCCTTGTAAAGATATACCTAATGGCTCTGAATGTATTACTATGTTATTATTGAACCATATTAGCCACGATAGAAACACTTATAATAAAAAGGTTCTTCCCCTAAGGAGCTTAACATCTACATTTAAACACAGTGGACTAGATGAGGGTACAACAGATGTAGAGAACACAAGGTAATAGTGGAAGAACTATGATTTGTAGCTAAATTTTGGATGATTCTTGAAGCTGCTGCTTTAGAAATACTTTTACAATTTTACAAGTGATGTTACCCAACAAAGTAGTGTTTAAATTATTGTAACAGGTAGAAATGCCATTTTTTTTCTTTAAAACAAGATCAAAACTCTTTAGGTATCTGTGGCTTCTCTAAAGCCTTGTGTTTCTTCCCCATGCATCTACAACAACATTATTAATAGATACGAATGTACTTAACTTCACACTACTGCTAACAGCAGGAGCACAGTGCAACCCTTCTTAAGCAATCACTCAGAGGATTGGCATCAATTATTTGCCTAGGAGAAATATTTTCTAATTAAGTCTAGAGCAGAATTTCACTCAATGATCTAGATTTTTTTTTTTTAATGGGTGTTTAAAAAGTTAGGCTCCCAAGTCGATACAGGCAGCAATTTTTGAAAATCTAGGTTAATATTTGCAGGGCTACTTTGGGGATAGTCTCCTAAGGGGTGGAGGTGGGGATTTCTAATTAGGCTAGTCACACCATTTAGCAAAGCTAATTTATTGGCAGAACTGAGCCTCTTTTGTTTGGCTGCAAAGAGGTAAAAGCATATTGCAATTATTAGCAATCTGGCAAGTCGACAGTCCCATCCGGAAACAAGAAACCCATATACGGTATAAATTACTAATATAGCCATCAGTGTAGAAGAAACACATTAAACATTACTTTTCCACAAGCCAGGGTTTTCCATATTAATGTGTAACACAGAGCCCGTACATAAAAGGGATATATATTTTTGAACAGGATTCCTTGTTACCTTAGATGGGCAAACCCTGAAAGGTTTCCTTTCTGCAGCTCGAGTTCCTGACAAGGAGATAATTATGCAGACAGGAGATCAAATAAATAAGAGCCTAAATTGAGCCACTCCAACTGTTTTACCTTATTGCCCCTGCAGATAAATGGCCATACGAGCCACTTGCAGCAGAACTACTTCGGGAGTTATTAATATAAGCCACCAGGGAGTTAGGGGATGTCCTGATCATTGTTTGAAGATCAATGCTGGCATCAGACAGCGGGGATATGGAGAGGGCTCGCTTTCTGCTTAATCTTGGAGTCACCCGAGGGCTTGAAAATCTTGACACTGTAAGGAAGAGAAAAAAAAACAATCCAGTGTGTCTAGTCAGATAAAAGCAGCAGGCTTCTCCCTTCTTGTGGCCAAGTAAATGAAAGAAGTTCACAACGCTCTGCTTGATTTACTGGGAGGAAGACTTAGTCTGAGAGCATGTGGAACATTAAATGACACGCAAACCCCTAGCTGGGACTCATTTACCTTGAGAACATTTCTTAAGCCCCATCACACACACAAAAAAAGAAAAATTCATACTACGCATCTGTATTTTTTGCCGTGACAGCCATTCTTGTGGAAGAGAAGCAGCAGGATTTGGGTGCCACGACAAAGAAGCAGAGTCTTTATTGAAGCTGCTGAACTCAGAAAAAGCCTTTGTTTTTCTTTGGCTTTCTAGTGACCATAATGCTGAATTCCACTGCTGGGCTTTTGTCAAGATGCTGATTCAGCGAAGAACTTAAACACAAGCCTAACATGAAGCATGGGAGTAAGCTCATTGAAACAGATGGGACTTGCTTAAATACCTCACTGATTCAGCACCCGGAAGTCCTGAGCTTGGACGTCCACTTTCTCAGCTGACTAATTTCTGCCTTGCTGTGATGTCAGTGGCTTCCCTAATGTATGGGAGAGGAGCATCGGAGTAGTTGGTTTTGAACCAGCTGATCTCTATTCTGCAAGGGCTCTTTGCAAGTGTCATGGATCAGGGTCCCCAGGGGTGCCCATGATGCCCCTAACGGCTCCATGACCGCACCAGCTCTGCTCCGAGAGCACACTCTTGTCTCTCCTGCCACGTCTTGATGGTGAAATAATAAATTGGGAGGCTGCCCATGGGCCTTCGCGTGGCCCCAGTGCACTGAACCCCACAAAAATTCACTGGTCCTTGGGCCCTTTGCTGGATCTCACTCCCGTACTGTGCCTTAAGGGGCACCTTGAGCCTTATGGGCTAATTGCATGGCTCCAAAACCTTCCCTATACAACACCCCATGCCTCGCAGATGTTACATGTATGTTTTACCCTCTTTGAGGCCTTAGCCTACTCGGTCTCCACCCCTTTAATCTGGCTAAGCCTTCTAGCCTAGGCCCACCGTCTCATATGTCAGTCTGAGGCACTAGCTCTAATCAGTCTCTTCCTGTCACCGGGCCCCTGTATGGCTGCACCCCTCTCGGGTGCTGGGCCCATGGCCCCTATGTAGCTGTGCCCCTTAAGCGCCAGGCTTACAGCCCCCAAGTAGCTGTGCCTCTTGAGCACTGGACCCAGGGGTCTGTGTAGCTGCACCCCTTGAGCGCCAGGCCCACGACCCCATGCAGCTGTGCCCCTCAAGTGCCGGGCCCACGGCCCCATGTAGCTGCACCCCCCGGGCACCAGGCCCAAGACCCTTGTGTAACTGTACCCCTCAGGTGCCAGGCCCACAGCCCCCATATAGGTCCGCCCCTCAGGCACTGGGCCCATGGCCCCATGTAGCTGCACCCCTTAGGCACAAGGCCCACAGGCCCTTGAGTAACTGTGCCCCTCAGGCACCAGGCTATGGTCCCTTGAGTAGCTGTGCTCCTTGAACTCTAGGCCCATGGCCCCGTGTAGCTGTGCCCCTCAGACACCAGGCCCACAGCCCCCTGAGTAGCTGCGCCCCTCTGGGCACTAATGGGGTCTCCGGACCTTCCCTTTCAGCCTCATCCCAAACCTCTAGTCCAAACAACAAATCAAACATAAGCCCCTGGGATCTAACATAACAATAACAACAGAGACGGCACTTAGCAAACTTCCACCCTAGGGCAGGGTGCCTCCTAGCCTTGCGTACCCTCAGGGCTCCTGGTGCCTTACTGGAGGCAACCACCCATCTCTGGGTAGCTTTCTTGGGCAGGAGCTCCTTCACCTGGCAGTTGCCAGAGAACTAATCCTTGCCAGCCCCAGCCTTGGGCTTACCTGTGTCTAGGGCCCTGCCTCCTTCCTGTCAGCTGACCACCTGCAGGTGCTGGCTAATTACCTCATTATCCTGTTGCTCAGGCAACCTGCAGCTGTGGTGCTTTGCCTAGCCTGCAGGGCTCCCTGGCTAGGCTGCTTCTGCCCTTCAAGGAGCAGGCACATCATAGTGCCCTGCGACAGTAAGATATTCCTAGGGTTTGACGCAAAGCATCCCGTGGCCTTTGGATGAAGCGTCTCTTGCTTCGCTAACTGAAGGATAAACTGTACAGTTTGGGGCACTAACCATTATCTTGCCCTATAATTTGTACTACTCCTAACACAATGGGCTTGTGTCTTTGAGCACATCTACACAAGATGCTTAATGTCCATTGGACTAATTCTACTGCGCATTAGCGCAGGTGGCAAAAGCCATGCTAATGTGCAGTAGATTAGTCCAATGGGCATTAAGCATCACATAAAAAGCATTCATCTGTGCTAATGCGCAGTAGCACCGATTACGGCACATTAAGTTAGTACCTGTTTTTACAGGTACTAAACTTAATGCGCCGTAATTACGGCACATTAATGAACATGTAGATGCGCCCTTTGACTGGAGCTCCTAATCCATACCATAAGGGGAATGAAAAGGTTAATAATAAAATAAACCCATTCATTTTGATTCCTTAAAAAAGATAAAATGCCTATTGCCAAAGTCTTCACTCAACAAAGAGTTTGAATGAGTAGCAACAAGCTAAAACTAGAAGAGACTGGGTAAACAACAGACTTAAAAAGGGCTCATATAAATTCATTCTAATTCAATATAATTAACAGATTTATTTAGGATTGCTTCATTCGTTCCTCGCATACTTTGTTTTGAAATACTAGAGATGATGCACTGTATTCTTTATTCCAAATAAACACATTTTCAGTGCATGGTTTGAAGTTAACACTTAAAATCCCTGTAACTACAGCCCTTTTATGGGCATAAAGGGCATCTTGGCTGATGGGAATGATAACGGATCATAGTGCCATATGCTTCTCAGCATCTAGAGGAGCTGATTACAGTATAGGCTAGATGAAAATTGTGCTTTCCATCCCCTTCCCCACTTCTCCAGTCAATTACTAAACTGCTGACCAGACCTTCATCACTACTTTAAATTGGAGCAAATTTGCCAATCCAATAATTTTTTTTTTATTGACAAGCTGATGACCACATTTTTTTATTGGTATATGTTTTTATGGACATACATTTTACATAATATAAATGTAACTCTTTGGCCAGGACCCGTACAGCAATAATAAAGGCCAGGTTCAAATCTCAGCACTGAACACCAACTTTCTAAATCTGGCTTGAGCCCCGACCCAGAAACCTGGGAAAATACTAGGGTGGCTACTGGTCCAGTTTTATACTGGACTGTCCTGTTTTTAAACTCTCTGCCCCCTGTCCATTTCTAAATGAGGTACGGACTGCCAAAAGTCCTGTTTTTCAGTTCGTTGGTGGAAATCCATGTCAAACATTTGTCCTCACAATTCTATTGGCTGTGCCGAGAGGTAGGGCGATGCACAATCAGGAGGAACTTTGTGGTGGTCCTGCCCCTTGCTGTTGATTGACCAAGGGGCCTGGTGGCCCCACCCTGCACCGCTGATTGGCCAAGAGGGCCCAACCCTCGCCGGGGGGTGTCCCATATTCTGGGGATTTAGTAGCCACCCTAGAAAGCACGTTTTAGCTGGGTGTTCTAAAGTCGGGGCAGGCAATTATTACAGGTGGAGGGCCACTTACTGAGTTTTGGGGCCGCATGACAGGCAGCCAGGGGCAGATAAATATTAATTTTCTACATTTTTTAGGGGCCCCATGGGCCGGAAAAAAATGGGCTGGCGGGCGCATTTTGCCCACCCCTGTTCTAAAGTGATCAAACTTTCCCACTCTCGAACAATGGTCAGCCAGGTCCATTACAGGAGATAAGAGGACAAACACATGATCTTACAGAAAACCTTAATCATTATACATTCAGTGAAACCCAAACACCTAATAGCCTCAGCCACTAGCAAACGAGCCCAGGGGAGCTACCTCCTAGCCCAGCTTGTTAGGAGGGAGACTCACCCAGGGCTGCTACCTGGTGGCTCTACCACCTATGCCAGCCAAAAATGACCCTCAAACAGTAAGATCTAGACCCATAAACAGCAGAACAGGCACAAGTAACCTCCAACATTGCAAACATGCATACTAATAAAGGCATGCAAAAAAGGAATATTCAGTTACCTTAGCAGAATATAACCATAACTGAAGTAAGCCATAAAATAAGCAGAGCTATATCATGAAAATGCAAAGTACAAAAATACACGTACCTAAGAATCGCAGCTAAGAATTAGTTTAACCACTCTTAGAATCCTTTTCGTGACTGTATGTTGAAACATAAATGCTTTCAACCCTTGCAGTAATTTGCAGTAGTAATTTCCCCCTCCCAGCCCTGCAGCTCTCCCAGCTGCAGCTCCCTGCTCTCTGTTCTACCCCATGCCATGCAGCCCTGCCTACCTCCAAGATGAGCAGCCATTAGAGGCAGCACAGGCAGATGCAGCAGCGGTACATGGCTGGGACGGGGGCTTGGCTACAGAGGCTCTCAGGGCCTACAAAGCCCTGACAGAGAGCTCCCTACGGGGTGCTTCACTCCAGTTCAGACACAAGGGCTAGGACCAGAAATTACACAAACTGGTATAAGCAATGGAAATCGGTTCATATCTGTAACACAACAGAAGTTCAGTGCACATAAACTGCTTTTAAAATGGCTGCAACTGGTTTACAATAAATTTGGATGGATGTAGTATCAGACTTAACTGATTTAGGTTAAATTGGTTTATTGAACTTCTGTTCCAGATCTCCTCCAGACTCAAGTTAACTCACAGTCCTGCAGAAAGCTTTGAATCTCTCCAACAAACCCTGCCTCACAGGGTCGGCAACCTAGCCTTGGTCCAGGTTACGTGCTCCAGCCAAGCAGGGTGGTGTGCGCTAGTGCCCCCTAGCTTCTGGCCTGAGCCACTGCAGGCATGTGGCAGCATTTCCAGAATCAAAAGTGAATGTCTTCACTTGTTTCTCGGTTCAGTCTACGTAGCTTAGACCA